CTAAAGGTGCTGCAAATATCCACTTGAACTTATCTTGTTTCAAACAATCAATGATAGGAGCCATAATGATACTGAAGTTTCTAATGAATCGTCTATAAAAAGAAACAAGGCCATGGAAACTTCACACTTCATGGAGAGATTGTGGCTCAGGCCATTCTTGAATGGCTCGAACTTTTTCAAGGTCATCTGCTAAACCTCTTTCAAAAACTATGAAACCCAGGAAGATGACTTGATTTTGAAGAAATGAGCACTCAAGCAAATTAACATAAAATTTTTCCTGACACAATGTGAAAAAAATTAGCTCATGGTGGATCAAGAGTTCTTGTTTAGATTTGTTGATGACTAATATATCATCAAAATATACCACCAAAATTTTCCTAAATAAGCACAAAAGTGAGTCATTACTCTCATGAATGTGCTTGGTACATTTGATAAACTGAACGACATGACAAGCCATTCAAACAATCCATCTTGTGTCTTGAAGGCAGTTTTCCACTTACCTCTAAGTCTAATCCTGATCTGATAATGACTACTTCGAAGAACAATCTTTGAAAACTAACTAGATCCAGACACTAAATCAAGCATGTCATCAAGTTTAGGAATGAGAAACCTATACTTGACGGTAATCTTGTTGATGACTTTACTGTCTACATACATTCTCTAAGAGCTGTCTTTCTTTGGAGTCAAAAGAGCATGCACTACATAAGGACACATACTGTACTGGATATAACCACTTTCCAACAATCCATTAACTTGTCAGTTAAGCTTTGCCATATCTTTAAGGTTCTTCCTGTAGTGCAGTAGATTGAGGAGTTGTGAGCCTCGAATGAAATCAATTACATGTTAGATATCTCTCATTAGTGGTAATTCAGATGGAAGCTTATCTGGAATGATATCCTAGAATTGCTTTAAGAGCTATTGCACCTCTTCAAGCATTTCTAAAACAATGACAATTTGTTGTGAGATCTTGGATACTAGAATAAGCACAATCATACTTTCTGTACTTTCCTACACATTGTTTTTCTGTTAGAAGATGCAAGTTTTAGGTTTTGGGTTTTGTGCCTTTTGATTTACTTGAGTATCTGCCATCGTTGTCAAGCTTAATAGGAGGTAACAAGATCGTCTTGCCATCATGTTTAAAGGTATAGGTATTCTCATGACCATAATTGATGACATTGTGGTCATAAAGCTACAGTCGACTAGGCAGAATGTGAGCAACATGCATAGGGAGAATACCATAAAGAATCTCTTCTTTATAGTCACCTAATTGAAGAGAAACATGACACTGCTAGTAATTGATAAAGAAGTTTTGTCAACCCATGCAACACGAAGAAGTTTGGGTAAGGTTCTATCTTGAGGCGTAGTTGAGCCACTCCTTGACTAGAAATCATGTTTCTAGAACTCCCTTCATCAATTACCAACTTGCAAGCTTTGTCCCCACACTTCACAAAAGTATGAAAAATATTTGTTCGCTTCCATGAATCACTAGGTAGAGGGACTGATAGAATGCATTGCATAACCCTGACTCGACATGTCTCACATTCATGTTCATCAATGATGAAGTCCTCATCGACATCTAAAGGACACTAAATTAAATCTATGACCACATCAGCATTTGCATCATCCTTCTCATCCTCACAATGTGAGTCAAAAACTAGTGTGTGGTGTGGGCATTTCGACACAATGTGACCTTTAAGTAACAGTGAAAACACTCGACAAGAGAATTGCTATGGCAGGAAGCAAGAACTATAGCCTCACTAGGCTTAAAGGCATATTACCCTTAAAGCTAGTTGCTTGACTAGGTGTAAAAGACAAGCTAGGCCTAATCTAGGTACTCCTAAAGGTTGCTCAAACAAACTGGAAGTTCGTGCCTGTTTAAACTGAATGCTCCTCATGTCAGTACGCTTAACAGACGAGTACTATGACAAAGACTCTACTTCCAAAGTCTTATGATAAGCTTCTTCAGGGGACTCCAAAAAGTTTAACTTGAGTTTTCTGTACATACAGCTTGAGTCCATTAACAAACTTGGCAATGGTGCACCATTCTTCTTTATCGATGTCATAGCTAATCATAAGGTCATCAAATCAGGATATATACTTAGAAGCTATGGAGACTTGCCTTAGATTGAGGTATTTGTCGTCAGTTGGCTCTTATAATGAGTTGGCACATATTTCTCTTTCAATTTGGCGTTCATGTTGTCCTATATCTCAATCAGTAGATAGCCTTGTCCTTCAATGTTCCTTTGAACATTTGCTAGTACTTTCTAGTAAATCCCATGAGTTTCATCTTTGTAAATCAAACCCGTTGAGTATCACTCATGTCTTACCATTCAAAATAATCTTTCATGCTAGCTAACCAATCTAATAATGACTAGGACTCAACCTTCAATCAAATTTAAGGGCCTCAACCTTAACCTTCTTGGTGATATCGTCCGTATGTGTCCTTCTAAAGCTTTCTCTATCATTCCTATGGACTGGCTGATGTGATCTATAATGTTATTCTTCTGACCCTTGTCCATCCCAAGCATGTCTATGTTATCAGATTGATGATTGGTAAACTCACGAGGAGATGATCTACTATGTCTTTTTCCCATAGCTCTACAGGAATAACCAATCCTAAAGGAATTACTTCTAGGTTGATTAGGGACTAGGAATTGCTCATTCCTAAGACTTGACTCTCCTCTAACGGTAGGTCTTTCGAGCAGCCCTTTCAGTCATTTTTCTTGTATCTTGTCTATATATTAACTAAATTGCACCCATTATCTCTTCGAATCTATTGTTTATGAATTCTTTAATTTCATCAAGCTATAGTCCACATATGCCCTTCGAGCTCTTTCAAATTCCTCAAGATGATTTTGAGTGATTTGGGAGTTATTAGCCATGACAAATGTTAGGGCAATGATTTCTTAGTCTAATAAAACTTGCTTATCATATAAATCACATGGTCATACAAGGACAAAGGTGGTATAGTAAAGTGTAAGGTCTGGGGTGGTTTTAGTAACCTAAGGAAGAAGGCTCTCAAGTTGGCCTCACCTAGAAAGGTGAAGTCCCTTTTTAACAAACTAATTCTCCAAGAATTTAAAAATTCCACAAGGATCGTATGCTAAATAAGTAACAACTTGAATAAAGCCTTCACAATAATATTCGAAAGTTCAAAAACCTCACAAGAAAACTGTTAGAAAGCTTGACTAACCTAAAGTAATTTCTTTGACCCAGGTATAGGGCCGAATTGTGTGTGAGCCAAGTGTCCTAGGTAATAAGAACACCATTGTCAAAAGTTACAAACCAATAAGATAATGATCAAGGTAAATTCTCCTTTTTTTTAAGTCAAAATATTGAACTAAACACGATTTAAAATTAAAATTGCAATGCTCAAAGAAACCTAAGTAACAAGCAATAAGGATTTTAGACCTAGCTATAAATAGAATACCTCCCCTTAATAACCAAATAAGTCAATTAAATGAGAGGGCCGTCGGCCTTACCAGCATAGCTTTAAAAGCCTAAAACATAAAATTTTACTCCCAATAAAGCTTTAGATGACGACTTGTGCCTCTCGACTTCTTTAAAGTTGAAGAAATCCTGTAAAAATACAATAAAAATGATGAAATCCAGATTCTATCGACACTATATGGCAACGCATGTGGCGCGTGAAGACCACGCACAAGGGACTCCTCCGACGCATGGAGGCATGTGCAGTAATAGAGGGAGGCGAATATGCTTCATTTGACCAGATTTCCCCTTCAAAGGACGATGGTGGTGTCCGTTTTGTGAACTGACGTGGGGGAGTGGGTGTTTCTAGCTCTGGCAACATGAGAACAGAGTATGCAGCAGCTAATCTCCGGCAACAGGAACGGCCTAGGAGCATTCAGAGCCAAGCTCTGATACCAAATTGATGCAATACTCTCTCTCTCTCTCTCTCACTAGTTCAAACAAAAAAGGAAATGGGAGATCAAACAGAATAGAGAGTTAAATGGGGAAGGGAAACGAGAACAGACGGAGGGAAAGAGAAGAGGAAGGACAAAACAAAGAGGGAGGAGGAAGTGAGAGGCAGAGAACGCAGACTGGAGGGAAAGAGCATTCATAATATCCCAAATAAATTCATTCATCAAATCTGATTCTGAATACATGAGTTACCCATAAGATTTCCTTCCTAACAAGGTAACCTCTACCCACTTGCTGAAATAAAAAAAATCATTTAAAATCATTTCCACTCACTAGCTGGTTTCCTTCACAAGAAGGAAACTTATAAAAGTTAAATGAAAAGCAACAAAAGACTAATAAACTATTTCCTTCTAAATAATGTTTGCCATATTTTCTATCAAATAGGGGCTATCCTAATGCAAGAAGGCCAATCTATTGCTTTTTTCAGCAAAGCATTGGCACCACCACATTTGAAGTTATCAATTTATGAGAAAGAGTTGATGGTAGTAGTACAAGCTGTGGAATACTAGAATTTGTATTTATATGGTTATTGTCTGTTGAGGGTAGTTAGGTCATTCAGCTGTCTTTTAATGATCTTACTCAGCATCTCTTAGAATCCTATAAATATTAGGATGCCTCCTCGTTTGTAAATAGCCTACTAACATAATGAATTAGCACTATTCAGATTTGATCTCTACTCTTATGGATCTCTCTCTCTCTCTCTCTCTCTCTATCTCTTGTATTTCTTTCTCTTTCTCTCTCAACTCTTCTCTATTTTCCTATCTTTCTTCTACCTTCTTTTCTATCTTCTGTATCAGATTGCAAAGGAACTGTTCCTACATTTATGATGTTATGCCTGGCCAATTCCAATATGATGGTCTAATAGAATGCCTCCTGCTTTTTGGTTCTAATGTCTTTAACTTCCTGAATAAATTCATGTTTCATACATCTCAAAATAAGAAAAAAATGGTTATCCATATTTTTCCTTTATAAATGCATTAATTATTGGCATAATTTAATATCCATTCTGAAATCTGAAATAGGAAAACTGTATCAGTTTGATAAAATTATCTACCTACTTTGACAGACAATAGACTGTTCCATAGAAGAATCTCCTCTTTCCGCTCTAGCAGCATCAACCATAGACTTGTATCTTGTCCATTGCGCCTTTGCTCTCTCAGTGATTAGCCACTGTTTTGATATCACCAAACAGGTTTTGTACATCCAAGTTTTATAACTAAATGGTAAGTTCCATAACAGAAACATGGTGCATGTTTGACAGGAAAAAAGAAAAGGGAAGAAAGAAATTTGAATATTAAACAAAAATAATTCAGAGTTATCGAAGGTGTGCCAAAATAGACAAATATGACCTCACTGGCCTCTCTAGTACTTTCTGGCAAGGAAATGCCCTTTGACTTAGCCCACTTAAATGCCCCTTCACCTGACAAGAAGCTGCAGATACAGAAATATAAGTGCAGATATTATCACACAGATTTATTCACGAGCTGAAAGGAAAAAAAAGAAAAGAAAAAAACTTCAAAACTGGCTGTATCAAATATTGATTATGGATTTGAGACTGACACTTAACCCAATGTTGAAGACTTCAGAAGCCCAGATTTGTAATCACAAAAATTTAGCTTAAGGCACATGTTACAATCATAGGAAATGCACTGATCATAAAAACAGTGAGTTCAAGTAGTCATTACATTGGAGGAATTCGACCCAATAAAGGAATTCCAGTAATTTGCTCTTTGGCCAATAAAGCAGCAATTTGGATAGCATTTCGAACACCTGATCTATAATTTGTAGAACAAACAATTAAAAACAATATAATAAATCTTAGGAGAACAAGAAGTAAAACAATCTCTCTTCAAACATCAGATCTCTCAATTGATTAAACATTATGAGCTAACTGTAAAGCTTAAGATATGCAGTTAGGTCGCTTGCTATCAATGGAAAATTTTTCACTTCAACACAAACCATAACATGAGGTGGTTCTGTCAGGACTCAGGTAAGCACCTGGAACTGCACCAACAGCCCCAAAAGCTCCAGATTTTGCATCCATTATACTGGCATCACATTCTACATTACCATCTTCTGTCAAATTGGAGCCTCTCCCTGCATTTGTGCAAGGATCATCCTAGAAAAACAGTTATATTCAATCAATATATCCTGAATGAATTATCATTTCTTCTCTACGGTAATATACCATTTCAACTTTTGCTAGATATTATCATTAATATAATTTCAAATCAAAGCAAATCCCAATAGTTAATGCATAGTAGACTTAATAGGAAAAGCACCCACAATTCGATTACTTAACTCACTTCAATATTACAATGATACAAATAGCCCATATTTTGTCAGTAAATCAACAAAGTAACATTTATATTTTAACTTGAGACATCACGGTTGAAAGATAACGCAGCTAAGGTCAACAAAGTTTACAATATAAAAAATCCAAATAACAAAAACAACAACAACGAATTCAATGAAAATTCAAAATTTATATGCAAAAAAAGAACATAAAGTACCTCCAACACTTGAATTGCTGCTGCAACAGCATCTATACACCTTCCAGACCCCTAAATCAAATTAAACATAATGAAGCAACCAGCAATATTTCAACTTTATTTCTAAATATTGCTTCATCTTAAGTCCATAATAACCGATTATTTACGACAAAGGCTCCTTCTAATAACAACTGAAAGGCCCCAAGTTCGAGCTTCGAACTCCTTGGCCCCTAAACCAATAAATGAATTAGAGAAGATTTATTAAACTAAATGATTAAGCCGGCAACTTGCACCATATTGATCATCATTACTGCAGGTAAAATAATAATCCATTTCTTCTGTTTTGGCAACAACTCCCACTATCAACTGGTTACAAAATTATCATCATTTTCTTCAATCAAACCACTATCACTTAAAAGACTAAATATCATTTCACGTGAATCAAATATTTTATAACGATCTCTTTTCCTAAACCATAAAGAGGGATAAAAGATCATTCTTTTCTAAACAATAAGAAGAGAACCTTGGAGAGAAGCGAAGCTGCAGCGAGGCAAGCGCGATTCATGGCAGACCTGAGGGCTTTCTCATTGGAGGGGGAGTGGTAACCTGCGCCTACGTGAACCGCCACGAAGAACGGAGTTGGGCTTTCGGCGTTCGCCTTGCCGGCCATTGAAGTTGAAGCAATTGTTGCAGCTCGAGCTCGTGACTCGTGAGTGGCTTCAAAGTGCCTGACGTGGACTTAGGCCTCTTCGTAAATTGCACGCGTCGGAAATCAATTTTTTTCTGATACACAGGAGAAAAAGGAAACTAAATAGGCAGTCCTTGTTCAGAAAATGCAATAAGAACCAAGGAACATAACTGAAGGAGGCATTAGAAAGGAACATTCCTCTGATGAGTGCAAGTTTAAAGGGAGAGCTCACTTTAAAAGACTAGCTTATTGGATGGAAGAGCCCCTCACACTTATAAACCCCAAATACTTGTGAGCTTCCCGATGTGGGACTCGTGACAATGCCATCTCATCAAGAGCCGACGTCCCTGGCAGCTTCACTTTGGTATTCTCGTAAGAATACCCAAAAGACTAGTCTTTTAGGATGAGCTCTCCCTTTGGGCTTGTGCTCGTCACATTAGTGCTTTCATTGAGAGCCCGATGTCACGAAAAGGGCTACCCACGGAGGGTTCTGACCGGCCAAAGGTCGAGTGAAGTGCCGTGGAGTGAAGCCGCCGGGGACATCGACTCTTGACGGGGTGGCATTGTCATGAGTCCCACATCGGGGAGCCTCACAAGTATTGTGGGGTTCATAAGTGTGAGGGGCTCTCCCACCCAACAGGCTAGTCTTTTGGGATGGGCTCTCCCTTTAGGCTTGTGGTTGTGACATTGGTGCTCTCGTTGAGAGTCGCCGTTCACGGAAAGGGCTATCCACGGAGGGGCTGACCGGCCGAAGGCCGAGTGAAGCGTCGTGTAGTATGAGTCGTCATGGACGTCGGCTTTAAGGGTGAGCTATGTTATCAATCCCACATCGGGAGCCCACATTGATGGAATGTGATTTATAAGTCAGCTGGGCACCATCCCCTTATGAGGTGCCTTTTGGGGATGAGTTCTACCCAGATGGCTTGTGGTTGTGACATTGGTGCTCTCGTTGAGAGTCGCCGTTCGTGGAAAGGGCTATCCATGGAGGGGTTGACCGATCGAAGGCCGAGTGAAGCGTTGTGGAGTGTGAGCTGTCGCGGACGTCGGCTCTTAAGGGGTGGGCTATGTTATGAGTCCCACATCGGGAGGCCACATTGATGGAATGTAGTTTATAAGTCAGCTGGACACCCTCCCCTTACGAGGCGCCTTTTGAGGGTGAGTTCTATTCAGATGGCTTGTGGTTGTGACAATCCCATTCACAGTAAGGGAGATTTTAATTGAGTATAATTGATTATAAAAAAATTATTAACATGATATATTTTTATTATAATTAATTATGTTATAATATGATAGTATTTAGATGATATTTTTTGAAATTAATTTTGATAAAATTAAAGATATTTGAATGATTTTAATCAAAATCAATTTTAAATATATAAATTACAATAAAGAACATAAATTTTAAGGTGAATATTGATAAAATTGCATATAATATATGAGACAATTAACCATTTTATCCATCTAATTTTGATTTGGTTGTAATTCAATCATTAAACTTTCACTTATTATAACTTGTTCTATAATTATGATTCAATTATAATAAATTATTAATGTTTTCATATTATTAAATTTATTTTGATTTATTTAACAAAAAATATCATAGTGATATATTTAATATTTATTAAATTATTTAACACATGCATATAACAAATGTTCGAAACTTTAACAAGATGAATGCATAGATTATGAGCCACGAAATGCCAAGGGTACATTGGGTACCACTTGTACAAAATGCCAAAGTCATGGAGCATGAAAGGCTATGTTTCGAAATGCTAACAAATAATAAATCCTTCAACAAACATAATTGTAATTGAAAAGCTAAGGAGATTGGCTTAGTATTTGATTGAAGGGGAGGGAGGCTCCCCTTCCCTTGTTTGGTAAGGTGCAGGGAAAGGGAGATTTTTTAAAATTTTTCCTCCCCTGACCCTCCCTTTCAAAACCTCCCCCCAATTTGGGAGGATGCTCTCCTCCCCCACCCTCACTCCACCCCTCCCCTACCCTCCCCCCCCCCTCCCCTCCCCTCTCTTCCCTTTTCCTCCTCTTGAATCAAACAGAACCTTAAAGAAAAATATAGTTTGACGCAAATAATCGATTATATAAATATTTGAGTGTTTGAATTATTTTTATCAAAACTTGATTTCCATACAAATCATCAATTATAACAACGTATACAAACAAGTAGTAAGCAGAGCCTTTGCCTCGATGATTTTGACATGCATTAATAATGAATAATATTTTTTTCATTTTTATTTAATCTCATATAACCTAACTCAAATTTAAAGTGGTTATTTTTTCTTTTCACGACATATTGAAAAAATTGTTTTACTTTTCATTTTTATTCCGTTAAAATATATATATATATATATATACACACACACACATTTGCAAATCAAATGATATCTAGAAGAATAAACCTATCATTAAAATATAATTTTCTTGCATATATAATGTAATAGCTAACTTTGCAAAGTCATTGAAACTTACTACAACAAATGCTTATTTAGTATGTGAAATAAAATAGAACAAACAAATCAATATCAATATATATGTATGTATATATATATATATCAAAATATATCATATTCCAAGCCAAATCTGAAAAAATAGCTCTGTATGGCTTCCCTCTCATGTTACTATTCACTAAGTCATTTTTGTTGTTTATATATAGAGTTGAGGGTTCAAAGAAAAGTGATAGCTTGTGTTTTGGACTACATGTTGTAATTTTAGTTTGAGAAAGTTTTCACTTCTTTTCTCTTTTAAATTCAAAACTCCCTATATTTTTTCAATTTTCTTAAAATAAAATCAAGTGGATGATACTCTCAAGATCTGTGCATGTCTTCTCTGTCTTCTCATCTCACCTCTATTCTACAATTTACTTTATCCATTTTATTTCTATATCTTAACCAAGGAGAGGTTTCGTCTCTCAGTGAAGTCATAGGAAATCCTGAGAGCATAGACATTAATCACACAGATCTTGAGCATACTATATGTTGCTCATTTGAAATCAATTTTCATTGCACTCATACTTTCATCCTTAGGACAACTTCAAAACCTCTCTTTCTCCGTTGTGATCATGGTCCTTGGCTCATACCTTCTTTGTTCGCCATCATTGGTTCCTATGATCGAACCCTCAAACTGGACAAGCAAGTCTACTCTCTATTCTTCAAGTAAACTTCCATAATTCATAATTGCCTTCCTTATATCGTTTATGGCTTCTAACTCATGTTCTTATTTTAAAGAAAACCCAAATCAATATAAGGCCCAGCAAGGCAATTTCCTACGCTTGGAACATACTTAGTAAGCATACCTTTGGCTCAGCCACTAGAGTGATTTTTCATTCATGGCTATCTTACCACTAAATCAATTGATCCATTCCTCTCCTTTTAGTTGATTTCCCATCCTTTTTATGGTTTTCTTAGTAAGCATGCCTTTGGCTCAGCCACTTGTGGGTACTGTATTTGTTCCATAGCTATCATGTTCTCCCTTGTCATGTTCTTATCAGGAACTAGGTGGTACTGCTTCGAGAAACTTGTGAGGAAGCATAGTACTTTTACTCAAATTGTCTTGGTGTTTATCACTATTTGGAAGAAAAGGCACTTATAGCTGCCTTCCAAGTCATCATTGCTCTTCAACTGGATGACATTGTTGATGAAGCCAGCTGGAAGAAGAAGGCTTTGCGTTGCAACAAGCAATTCTAGTACCATTACCTACTCTTCCATTTTTTTTGGGCAAAAATTATTTATCATCATCTTCATCATTAATGATTATGATCTATAAGAAGATTGATATGATTGCATCTTCTCACTCCTCTCAACAAATGATTAAATCATGTAAAGGTCCTATAATTTATCTAAGGTTGTGTATTATTGTGCTGCTCTCCTTATGTTGTGCAGTGCTTTTCTTGCCTCCCTTTTTAAGTTTCAAAATTTCTTCTCTTCTCTTCTCACGAATCTCTCTCCCACATTGCTTTCTCTATTTCTCTTCATCTCTTTGAGCTCACTATGGTTGATGCAAACTCCCTTGTCACTATATCTTTGATTTTAAAGGTGGGTTCTTTTTTAGAAAAGCAATGATAAGGACAACAAGGTCGCAACAATGATGAAGATAGGGAGGAGGAAGGGAAAGGAAACAATTCTGTTGAATGCCGCAACCTCACGATTCCAAGAGATAATTTCTTCCTTATTTGTTTTTAAAAATTTAGAATGATTTTGTTTTCTTTGGTCATAATCTTTGGTTGATTTCGTTTACTTGCCTTATTATTTATTTTTATAGGTAATTTTGCTAATCTACTAAGAGACCAAGATGTTGCAACCTCATGATTCCAAGAGTAATTTCTTTATGTCAATTAACCCATATCGCATTCGTCTTAGGAGTTTAGAAGTGGTGGACTTTAGTGAGAAAAACCTTCGTGGGTCTAATACCAAAAGGGTTCTTCTAACCATGTGGGTCCTTAAGATCAACTTCATTTTCCAAGAACAAGCTTACTGGTAAGATTCCTAATTCATTGAATTATTGCTCTATCATCCTTTCTAGTATATGGTTATTGAGACAACTATAATACCTTAAGCTATAAAATAACATGATGGAGGGAGATATTCTTAAGAGAATTAAGAATTTGTTTAATTTGAAGGAGTTAAATATATAGAGAAGTCACTTTATTAGGAGGCTTCCTACTGCTATTTGTAATGTTCGTTGTCATTAACTAATTATAAACTCAATAATACTAACCCTCATAATAAGGATCAATCAGCTAAGATTAACTCTCTCAATTAACTATGAAAGCATTTCAATTATAAGATTTCAAAATTATTTGAAAAAGATCATAAATCAAAAACCCTTGAGAACACATAAAATTAGAGTAGGAGATATTGCAAAAATATAGGATACAAGTTGAGCATTAGAAACAAGATAACAAGGGCAAAACAAGCATTTTTGAAATTCTAGGTGTATCTTCCACAATCTAAAGTGCCTCCATTGTGACTAACCTCAAAAGAAGCTGTCCATCATGGCTAACCAAACCTTTCACCATGGCAAACCATAAATCACATATCCACTAGTGGCTAAGTGTACATTTTCTATGGCTGATAGTAAAGAGACCATTTATGCTGTGGCTAATGACATCATCTGCCACAACACAACCTCACATAT